CAACTTTCCCTCTCCACTAATTTACTATCATCTGATTTTTTTTGCTTAAACTTCTACTTTGCAGTTTAAAATTCCTAACTTTGGTCAGTGTTCTCCATTATTTTGAGGATATTTAAATCAGTTATCTTCTTTTAAAGCAGCATTTGAAAACATTTTTATAAAAGGGTAAATTAAATCATTCAGTGGATTTCATAGACAAATCTTTTTCAAACTTTAATTACATTGAGATGTTAAAGATGGATTAAATGTGGAAAAGTTTGGTTTTTTTTTTACTAGCCCTGCCAAAGCAAGGCCTCAAAAAGTTTATTAAACACTCAGATTTGTTTCTCTCCACGAAAATCTTTAGTAAAAGGCAAGAGATTTATTTGATCTGAAGAGAAACCAGAGTATATGTGGAACAGTTTTAATACTTCTAAAATGTTTTTAAGAATTTATTTTGGTTCATTTTAATGTTTAAAATTGAGTCAATCAATTTTATAAACATATAATGAGTGAGAACTCTAGCATTTACTGTGATAAACAGATACATATATAAAATTGTTTAGGTAGACATGTACATAATCCTCACTACTCCTTCTTAAAAGAAAGTTGAGGCGGGTGGGTACTGGGCAAGAAATTGTGCCATAATAAAGGGAGCAGTGTGTTATAGAAGTTCAAAAGGGAGAACAGTTCAATACAACTACAGGAATTCACTAAGAATGCATTGTTTGTATTCTAAGTACTTTGAGAATTCTCATATAGAATTCTCTGTTCTCATATAGAACTTTCATATTATACTGACATTGTTTTTCAATTCAACTACAAATAACCTATTACAAGTTTATCAAAGGGGGGACTCTTTATTTCTTCTAGAGTATGTCATCTAGGCTGTCAAGGGAAGGGACTACCTTTTTATTTTTATTGGCTCAATACTTAACACAATGTATGACAAATAACTGATATTCTGCAAATGTTTGAATTAATCTAGCTGCATAGCAACATATGAAAGAATCATTACAATTTATTATTAATAAGAATTTTTATGTTATAATTGAAATTTTGTTTTAATCTATCTTATTAATTCTAGATTTAAGCCTTTTCAGGCCTGTTTATGCACCTAAGGATTTTCTCGAGGTAGGTTCTATTGGCTAAATATATATATATATTAATGAGGTAAAAATGCAAAAGAAATGATGGTATAAAAACATCTCCAGGCAGAGGAATCACCATGTAAAAAGCCCCAGAGCCACTGAAATGGTGGAATAACATGATTATATTATATTTGGAAATTGCTCTTGGAAAATACATTGGAGCGTGGAAAAATTAGAGGGAAGTAAATCAGGAAGATTTGATTAAAAAATAGTGACTGTAAATCATGTAGCCTGCTTCCTGGCACATACAGGTGCTCAGTGAATTGTTTCCTTTTTTATTTCCTTCCTGTTCTAGTAGTTCAGGCAAGGCATGATAAAGGTCTGAATTAAGAGAACAGCATTCAAAATGGAAAGAATTCAACAGACTTGAGAGATTTTAAGGAAGATTTGGGAACTGATTAGATCTAAAGCGCATGAGGGAAAAAAAAACAAAGATAACCTTTAAGTGTCTAGATTGGGTAACTGGGCAGAGGTAACTTGCCCTTGAGATAGAGAATACAGGAGGAGAAACAGGTCCATTAGTGAAGATGATGAGCTTATTTAAGTTTGAGAGGCATATTGAGCATTCAAGTGGAACTCTTCAGTAGGCAGTTACAACTCCCTAATTATTTTAATTCACCTCTCTTTGATTACACTTTTTTTCTTGTACCTTACATGTAATCCATCAGCAAATCCTTTCAGCTTTACCTTTGAAGTATATCCAGAATCCATCCACTTCTTACTAGGATCATTCCTATTTCACTGGTCCAAGCAGCCATCTCTTGTCTGGACTACTTCAGTAGCCTCTTAATTGCTCTTTCTGCTTCTAAGCTGCCCACCTAGAATCTGTCCTTTTGTTCTTAGCAGAGTTTCTAGAGGAAGACTTGTAAGTACAATTCTGAAGAAGCCACTCTTCTGTTATCTAGGTGCTTCCTATCTCCTTCGACTTAAAAACCAAAGTCATGACAGTGGCCTAAAATATCCTGCTTGGTCTGTTACCCCACCACCTCTCTGAGTTCATCTCCTATTACTTTTTCTCCTGATTTGTTCTACTCCAGCTATTTTAGCCTCCTTGCTTTACCTTGGCTTCCGCCCATTTGTGAGGGCCTTTTGCTCCTTCTTTTCTCTGCCTGCAGTGCTTTTCCCCCAGATACTTGTGTGTACATTCCCCTCACTCCTTATTTCTTTGCTTAAATGTCACATTCTCAACCTAAAGAATATGGTCAATAATATTGGGTATTATATGGGTATAATATGGGTACAGATGGTTACTAGAGTTATTGTGGTGATCATTTCACAATGTATGCAAATGTCAAATCACTTTGTAGTACACCTAAAACTAACATAATATTGTACATCAACTATATTTCAATTATTTTTTATTTCAATTAAAAAATATTCATGGAAAAAATTCAAACACATACACACACACAAAAATGTTGCCTTCTCAGCAAACTTTTCCCTGGCTCCCCTGGTTGGAACTCCTTATAGCCCTTTCCTACTTTGTTTTTCTCCATAGTATTTAGCATCATATAACATACTATTTTTCTATTTGGCTTATTGCCTGCCTTATCCTATTAGACGGAAGTTTTGTTCACTGCTGCAACAATTACAGAGTCAAGTCAGATAATTGAAAAGGCTCAACAAGACTTCACCCACAAGGATACACCCACATAAGGCTTTCTTTCAGCAAGAGAAAGAAAATACAAAGAGATGGGAATTTCCAGACACATCTCCCAGGCCCCTTTCTCAGTTGCACAGGATGCACTTTGTCTTTGGGTTATGAATCTCCAAGGTACATGCAAGATACTTCGGTCTTGGGAGTCAAGGCACAAGTTTTCTGAGGGGTCTTTTATACCCCACTGGTAATTCAGATATAAACCAGCAATCTGTACATTTTCAATAAACAATGTAAATAAACTGATATGGAGTTCCTCCAGGGGACATTAAATAGCACATTATAAATGACTAGTTAATGCATTTTACCCCATCTTGGCCAAGGGTTGCTACTAGATGTCCAGGTAACCCTGAAGATAAGATAGAGCTACCATAAACCAGCTGCAGCTGCAAGCTGATCCTATCTTTAACTGTTCTGTCTCCAACAGGTTGAACAGTGCTTAGCACATCATGGCTCAGTAAACGTGTTGAGTGAATGAGTAAACGAATGATTGAATCTTTCACATTTTATTTATTTTTTTCTTTTCTGAACCTGTTGTCTCTGATACCAGTTTGCCAGCATAGAACATTGTTAGAAATTATTTCAGGCCTTTTAGAATTGTAAGCAGTATCTTTTTAACTTTAAAGAAAAATTACTTTGGTTTGAAACTGCCTTTATGGTGCTAGCATTATTTCTCTTAGCTTATTAAAGATTTCTCCCAAACTCTTTCCTTTTCTAGCACTTAAATTTCATGTAATCTTTTTATGGTTGTCTTTAACTGTCTTCTCCTTAATAATCATAGTGTTCTGTGGCCTTCAGGACTGTTGCTGAATTGATCCTTTTATTAGTCATGCTGAGATTCTTCTTTAACTCAAGCAAATTTTCTATAATCATTTCCTTAGTTACAGTTTCTGCTTTTCTAATATTTTCTCTTTTCTATTGCCCACATATTCATAGTTTCTTTTTCTTTTCAATTCTGTGTTTTTGAGTTTCCCATGCAAGTATGATGCCTTATTTGTGTAATTAGACTAAAATTGTGTTATTCTATATTAGTCTGTATTTAACACTGTTGATTCTTTGCTAAATCTTCTTTTTTCTTTTTTTTTAAACAAATACCTTTGATATTTTTAGTTTCAATTTAGTGTTTGCAATTTTAGGAAACTCTTTTGACCTTATAGCATATTCCATTTTATCAGCCATTAGTTATCAGTTTATGAATGCCTTCTTCAGATATGATAGTGTTTCTGTCATTATAATCTCCTTCCTTGGATTCTTGGTGGTTTCTTTCCCTCAACAGTTTCAATTTTTAAATATTTTTGAAATTATTATTATTCTCTCCCCAAAATGTGTGTTGTAAGAAAAATAAGAAAATATATGTAAGAAGAAAATTTAAAACAGAAATTACTCATAATGTCATCATAGAGCAATAAATACTACTATACTGTAACTTTTTAATTTAATAAACATATTGTGATATTAATTGAGGCATATTACACTGTATTTTGTACAAATTAAACATAATTTATTTAGGTAATTTCCTCTAATGGAATATTTAAGTTGTCTCATGTTTTTCTGTTTTATAAGAGAACAGTACTTCCTTGATGTTTTTTTCTGCACTGTCTCTGCAAACAGCTTTAATTATTTCCATAATCATACTGATAGAAGTGAGATTCCTAGAGTAAAGGCTGTGCAAATATCTAAGTTTTTTTTTAATCTAGTTAATTTTGAAAAATATATAAATTCGTCTTTCTTGTTAGCTTGGCCTCTGAAAAATTTTTTTTCCCTTTGGGTTCGGTTTATCGGCAAAACCTTATGATGTTATTCACTGTCTTTCTATAAACCTTGTCAGTATCTGTTTTTTAAAAGAGTTAGAGTTGGTTCTAAAATTTTTCCTGGCAAATATTACAATCAAGCAATTTAAATTTTTCTGTCATTTTCCCTGGTAAAATATAATCAAACAATTCTTTTTACCATCAGAAAGTTTTTCTTTCTAACTAAATTTTTAATTTTTTAGTTTTATATGGTAGATCATCTGTTGGAATATTAAATTAAAAACATATTTATAGTATTTTAACATTTTAATACAATTTTAGTTTTCAGAATGTAATTAAAGTATATGCATAACCCAGATAGTTTTTAATCTTGTGATATATACTAAGGTTATTACTACCAATTTTGTAAGTGTAAATAGTCAATAAAGAAACTAACCAATTATGTTGGATTTGTTTTTAAAGGTTTTAATTAATCTTCGCAACCCAAATTATGAAAATGGTGATTCTCATAGTTTCAGGACTCATTTGGGTTTAATCCAAGTTCCTCTCAAAGTAAAAGACATCCCTGAATTGGTAAGTATAGGCATTTAAAAATAAATTAACATATTTTAGAGGGCAACTATTAGAAATATATTTTAGTGCAGCATATGTCTAAAGCAGTAGGACAATCTGCTCATTAAATAAATGAATAAAATGAAAAGTTTCTTTTTTATTGTAAGTATGTTGTATAGAGAGTGAGTTGCTTTGCTAGTAGGATTAGAGATGAGCTTTCCTTGACCTATAAATGCTTTTGCTTATTTCTTATTTTAATAAACAGCATAGATTTATAAGACAACTTGTTGGAATTTGAGTGCCTGATGTATGGCTGTAAAACTGATTGAAACAAATTATGAATTTTATAAAAATTTTTTTTAAAGAATGTACATTTCATTTAATTCACCCAACCTTTATTAAGCTCATGACATGGTGAGACACTGAGGGAGATAAAAGAACATAAGATGAGTTAAAGGCTGTCTTTGCTCTGGAGACTGTCACAATTTGATAAGGTCGTTAGTTTAAAAATAGAGTAATTATAGAAAGGTGGGAAGATTTCCTGATAAAGGAGTTAAGAAATTACCATCACTCCTTCTTTTGTTAATTACCCCAAAACGATAAGGAGCGCAGAAATGTAAATACTGTCTTTGGTGAAAGTAGGAAACAACTTGTAACTCTAAGCTTTAAAGTATTAAGATAGAGAGCTGATGGGAGAATGAAGAATGACGCAAACATGAAGATGGTCAAGCCTTAATGCCTCTAAAAGGTGGGAGGTATGGATGACAAGTGTGACAGTAATCAATTTATTATCTTTCAGCTCCAAATCTACCTTTTTTAAAAATTGAAGTATAGTTGATTTACAATATTGTATTAGTTTCAGGGGTACAGCAAAGTGACTCAGTTATACACACACACATATTCTTTTTCAGATTTTTTTTCCATTATAGGTTATTACAAGATATTGAATATAGTTCCCTGTGCTATAGGGTAAATCCTTGTTGTTTATTTTATATATAGTAGTGTATATCTGTTAATCCCATACTCCTAATTTATCCCCCTTTGGTAACCATAAGTTTGTTTTCTATGTCTGTGAGTCTGTTTCTGTTTTGTAAATAAATTCATTTGTATTATTTTTTTAGATCCCACATATAAGTGATATCATATAATATTTGTCTTTGGCTTACTTCACTTAGTATGATAATCTCTAGATCCATCTATATTGCTGCAAATGGTAATATTTCATTCTTTTTTATGGTAAGCAATATTCCATTTTATATATATATATATATATATATACCACATCTTCTTTATATATTCATCTGTTGATGGTCACTTAGGTTGCTTCCATATCTTGACTATTATAAATAGTGCTGCTATGAACATTGGAGTGCAAATATATTTTCAAATTAGAGTTTTTGTCTTTTCCTGATATATGCCCAGGAGTGGGATTGCTAGATCATATGGTAACTCTATTCTTAGTTTTTTAAGGAACCTCCATACTGTTTTCCACAACAGGTGTACCAATTTACATTCCTACCAACAGTGTAGGAGGGTTCCCTTTTCTCCACACCCTCTCCAACATTTATTATTTATAGACTTTTTGATGATGACCATTCTGACCAGTGTGAAGTGATACTTCATTGTAGTTTTGCAAATCTGCCTTTTTTGCTCTGTTTTATTATACTGGAGCTGGACCTTCTAAACATTTCTTTTTTGCAAACTAGCTTGATGTTAGGCTTTGTCAATAGAGGATTCTGGAGGGACATTGCAAGACAATAGCAGGAGAAAGGGGCTTTCCATGTACAGAAGCCAGCAGATCAGCAAACAGAAGACCCAGTAGCACTCACCTTGGCAGCCCTCAGTCAACCAGCTCCAGCCTGTACTCTCTGGCAAGGTTTTTCTTCACCTCTGGTCTGCACATTCCTGTGGCAGGCATACCCTCTCCTTAAAAGGCTGAATCTCAGTCTTGAGGGCACTGGGGGACCCTTTCCTGAGTTCTTAGTTCCTTCTTGGTTCACCCTCCTGCTTAGAAGTCATAGTTCCTTTCTGCATATGCTAATTCTGTTTTTCCCTGTTCACATTTCTGGTATGGTTTCTATTTCTTGACGGGACTCTGACTGATACAAAAAGCCAGATGATTTTTCTCCCTTGAACTTTGGAAAGGATCAAGAATTGGAGATACCACATGTTATAGAGTCTCTGAGGAGACATAGGGCTGAAAGTGGAGATTGTGTAAAAGTCTGTATCAGGAAGGGTTAAGACCCCCGGACTCTTCTCATCCTGCATATTCCGGTGACTCCTCCTCCCTCACAGAAGACCAGAGGTGTGTTAATCACTACAGAAACAGAATCAGAAAGGCTATAAACTCAGTGACCTCAGACATAGAGCTGAACACGAATGAGGCACGGTATTGAAAACAGAGGAATTAAGTGAAAGTTGACCGAATAGTGAACTAATACCCTTGTCCCCTACCACTACCACTATGCCTGCCCAGTCTCTCCTTCTTCACCCTCCACCAACTTTAGAATGCCAGAGAAAAGGTTAACAGAGATTTGGAGAACCCTTACCGGGGGCGGGGGAAAAAAAGAAAAGAAAAATAGCTGGCTGGCTATAATTGCTTCACAGTGAAGTCCACCACACTCTGCCCAGTTCTTGCAGACAGAGCTTCCAGTCAGTCGTTAATTGCCTCAACCCTAAATGTAACTGACCAGCCTAGGATCTCCAGATACTTGAAATCTTCCAATTTTAAAGGCATATGTCAAAACTAAAACAAATAAACAAACAAAAAAAGAAGAAGAAATAGCCAATTTAGGGAATGAGTGCTTATTACGACCACCAATAGTTATTTCAGGCTTGAATTTACATCTACACTCACAAGATACAATAGGCCAAAACCTGGTGCGAGGTTCATTTAGATTTGCAAAATGATACAGGACAGAAAACATGGCATGTCAGTATATCACGTAGATCTTCATTGGAAGTCCTTGCAGCCAACCAGATGCTACTTCCTAGCCCCACAAGGAATGCATGCAATTTGAAGTGCCAAGGCTACATAGGCACAGCATAGGAAAGTCTCATATGCGATAGGAACTATTTCTTATAATGCACATGACCATAGCTTCCAAGTCCTCTCAAGAGGCACACCAGGTAGCTAAGGCCTGTGTTTTCCATTAGATTTTTATAGTCCACTTACAGTCTTCCATTTCAGATATAATTTACCAGTCAAGGGTCATATTTTTTCAGTAAATTATATTGCTTAGTAATATAGCTGGCTTTCCTCTCCACAGTTTTTTTGTGTGATCCAGTACATTTTCAGGTCAACAGTGCTGAGAGAAGGTAAACCCAAGGTTATCTTCACATGGACAAAAAGGTTAGCCTGTTGTTAACCATTTCTCCCCAATAGAAGATGTAAAGCAAACATTAATATTCTCAGAGAGAAGATATTACTCATTAAACAAGAATAGAATTTCATTAAAACAACAAAACAAAACATTAGAAAATGAAAAAAGAGCTTATAGGACTCAAAAATACGGTATGCCAAAAAAAAAAAAAAATCAGTAGAAAGCCCAGGAAATGTCTGTCAGAAAACAGAGCAAAAGCAAAAAAGCCAAAGAGATGAAAAATAAAAAGGAAAAGGTATTTTTTTTAAATTAGAGGATCGATCCAGAAGGGCTAACACCTGACCAATAGGAGTCCTAGAAAGAGAAAACAGAGGTAAAGGAATTATTAAAAATTTTAAGAACGGAAAGACAGGAATCTTCATTGTGAAAAGGCCCACCCAGTACCCAATGCTGTGAATGAAAGAAGACCCAAGGCACCTGAATAGGAGAAGACTAAAAACTTTTTATGGAAGAAAAACAGAGTATATATAAAGTTTCAAGCATCTGACCGCTCAGCAGGAAGACTGGAAGCCAGAAGATTTTTAAGTAAAGCCTTTAAAAATCTGAATGAATTCAAGCCTAGAATTCTGTATGTAACCAACAGTCAATCAAATGAGAATTTGAAGTAGACATTTTCAGATGTATGTGATCTCAAATATTTACTCTTATTAAGGGAGCTATTGGCAGAAATGCTCCAAAACAAGATCAAAAACAAAAAGAGCAAAACAGAGGATCCAGGAAATGGGATTCCAACCTAAGAGAAGAACAATTTCCAAAATGACAGTGAAGAGAGGTTCCAGGACAAAGTTTGTGCAACAGGACCAGAGCAGAGCGATTCCAGTTTGGAACAGGAGGTTGGAGGGTTCCAGGATGAGTGCCTGCAAGAAAAACACCAAAAGTAAAGATGATCTGACAGGTTTAACCACATGCAAAATTGTATTGTGGAGGGTCTTTTCAGAGTTGTTAAAGGGTAGAGGAAGAGGTAAGTGATTACAGAAAATTGCATAAGTGAAAAAATGGTTTAATTATGGACTGTATGAAAAAGATACATATTTTAGGAAAGGAAACATATTTATAGCATACTCCTTGCCTCAGCAGTGAATAATTTTTAAATAGTAATAATAATGTAAACTCTTAATATGGATTTAATCAAGAATTGATATATACTTATAATGGAATGATAGAGGGAGGAAAAGAGAATGTACATGAGCTAAAAATCCTCATTTATCATAAAAAAATCAGTAGATATTTGAAACTGATAAATTAAAAATAACAATATATACTTGTTACTTGAAATATGGGTGTAAATACCAGAAAAAGAAGCTGAAATTGGGCTTCCCTGGTGGCACAGTGGTTGAGAGTCCTCCTGCCGATGCAGGGGACACGGGTTCGTGCCCTGGTCTGGGAAGATCCCACATGCCGCAGAGCGGCTGGGCCCGTGAGCCATGGCCGCTGAGCCTGCACGTCCGGAGCCTGTGTTCTGCAATGGGAGAGGCCACAACAGTGAGAGACCTGCGTACCACAAAAAAAAAAAGAAACAAAAAAAACTGAAAGTGGTTGTTCCTGAATAGTGGGCTAAGTATGATTGCGTGTGTGTGTGTGTGTGTGTGTGTGTGTGTGTGTGTGTGTTGTGTATGTGTGTGTTGGGGAGGAGTGCAT